GATTTCTTTCCCGCCGTGGCCCTGTAAGTAAATTGTATTCGGATAACGGTACAAACTACGTCGGCGCGAAACGTATTTTATCAGAACTACATGAGCTTTTAACCAGTAAGTATTATAATTCGGAGTTCGCTCACATCCTAGCCGAGAACCGCATCGAGTGGTCTCTGAACGTCCAAGCCGTGAAACATTTTCGAGGAAATTGGGAGACTAATATTAAGAGTCTAAAGAGTCATTTATACCGAGTAATAGGAGATCAAATTTTGTCCTTCGAAGAGTTAAGTACTGTGCTCGCTCAAATTGAGTGCGTCATGAATAGTCGCCCCCTTTGTCGTACGTTGTCAAGTGACCCCTCGGAGCCGCTGGCTCTAACTCCAGCACATTTTTTGAATTTAACGCCTTTGAAGTATCTGCCCGCCATAGACATGGACGAGAACAAACTTAGTATTTCCGCACGCCATAAATTATTGGACCGGTTGGTGCAGTCGTTTTGGAAACGATGGAGGATGGAATACTTGCATACATTGCAGTCTCGTCAAAAATGGAACACAACAACTGAACCATTAACTGTCGGAACTGTGGTTGTGCTCACCAAGGAGAATACGCCGCCTCTCCATTGGCCATTAGGGATTGTCGAAGAAGTTTTTCCCGGTTCCGACGGGGTAACTAGGGTAGCTCGCGTTAGGACCACGACTGGGTCTTACATGCGTCCTGTCGTCCGTTTGTGCCCTTTGCCCCTTCAATAGTTTAAATTAGCTTTCTAGATAAGAAATTGCAGTCGAAAATTAGGTTTAGTCTTAGTATTTTGAAGGGGACCCTTCAAGCCGGGGGGATGGTTACGCGGAAACGATTCGTGTATTTTAATTTTATTCGAGGGTATATTGTGCCAAGTGTTCTTCCTTTGACCTATTGTCCCTTCCGTAAACACACTGAGGGGAAAGAGGAGAGGCTAGAAGGTGGCGTGATTCATTCGACCAATGAGAAGCGCGCCCGACCGAGATGCATTGATAGAAAAGCCGAAGCAATATAAGCTCGCGCGCTGCCCTCGAGTTCTCACTTGCCTTCGCGCCGCTAGTCTGAACCGCACCTGGAGCAGTCGAGCTCCAGAAGTAACCGCCTCACATAGTGTGAGATATCGTCGCGTACCGCTCTCTTCCTTCGCACCACTGGCCTGGACCGCATCTCTGGGGCGCCCCAAAAGAACCCACCAGAAGTCGCACCACAGCAACGGAAGCGCCTAAGCCGCATCGAAGTCACACCCCGGTAAGTGTGTTTTTCCTATAATTCAATGCCTGCTTAAGCATTTGTTTGTTAGCTAACCCGCTCCATTTCATTCCTCCTAATGTGTTCAAGCAGGATTCCTTCATAACCTTGGCAAACAATAGATATCGGAAGAGCGAGTGCATTGTCAAGGAACCGCGTGCCACATCCGCCATCTTGTTGAGGCAGAAGAAGCTTACCGCGTATACAGTCCATCTAGTATAACATCTCGCGTAATAGGGTCAAGGCTCGACCGGGGAATCGAACTCGGGAACCCTAAGGCCCGCCACCCAACCATCTTGGTTGGGTGGCATTAAAAGATTCAAACAACTATGTGTTTTATTTATAAACCTATATTAAAGGGCTTCAGATTGAATTTTGGTAACAAGGCCATTCTCAACGGAAAATAGCCATCTGCGCATCTGGATTATATTGCCCAAGTGTAATACTACTGCTACTGAGAATTTTGTGACAGAAAAACCCAATAAATGATTCCGACTCAGGTTTCGAACTTGGGACCACATGATCAGCAATTGCGTTTACGACCAAGAAGGCAGTCAAAAGTGTTAAAATTATAATAATTTTAACTGCGTCACGCTCTGAGGAAAAAATTGATGGTCACTAAAAAGCCGGGCTTTTTATCTTCATACTAATTGTTATTTATACAATCGTAGTTATGTTTCATTATCGAACATTTTGCCACAGGTTAGAAAGGGAGCGATCGCCTTCTCGAAAGCCCGGTAAAAAGCCCACGTGTGCGAGGGAGACAACCAATGGCTCAATTCAACTCTCCTTATATGTATGACAGCAGTATTCCTAAGGCTAGGAGGTCTCACAGAGCGCGCGGGAAATTTGAAATAGTTTGAAACACTTTACGAGTTATTTTATTACTTGATATTATTGATTGATTCAGCTTGATAAGGCAAGCCGGGCTTCTGGGCTTGTATGGAAGCTTCGCCACTGGCTTGGACTATTTATTAATACAAGCAAAAACCAACTTTACGTCTATGTGTATAACGGAGTACACATGGAGACATAAGGTTGTATAACTTAGGATATTGTTATGCTATCTCGAGTGTTCTAGTACGGTTTCTGGCAGAACTTGAAAGCGTGGAATGACTCGAATTGGCCTAGAAAGTTCTATATTTCTTTTATCGACTATGAAAGCGTGTGTCGGCGATCGAAGTATGAATCATTTCGGGAATGCGAAAGTGAACTATACTCCGGGAAGCGACTACGAGAATTTGAGACTAAGCGATTTTGGACATTGTAGTTATAAACTTGCCGAGTGTGTGGAAAAATACATAATAGTACGAGATCCCACTGCAGAATTAGTGTACTCATCGAGTATATGCTAAAAACCTAATTTTTACGCATATTTATCATTAAGAGAATAAATATTTGCTAGGGTGCCTATCAAAATGTGGCCGCTAGTATTTTTAATTAAATTATTTTTAATTATTTTTTCGCAAAAAATTTCATTAATTTGTTTTTAAAATAAAATATCGTCCACTTCACGGCAATATATATAAAGACTTTGAAAATTTACGGTTGCCGTTGCGCACTTGGCCGCACCTCTTCGCAGCCAGGTGTAAACAGGTATGATTTTGATATCTTTTTACGTTTATAACGTACATTTATGATTTATATATTAAATTAAAGCTAATTTTTTTCTTATTATTATGATATATGGGTGCCTAATTAAATCTGGCTGCAAATAAGAGTTGCTGGCTGCTAAATATGATAAATATTAAAAGTAGAATGAAAGAGAGCTAGCGCGTAACGTCACCAGTCAGACGAAGACAGCGATTGCCAGCTGTCCGACGTTTTAAAGCCATTGCGCATGCGTCGGGTGCTAGTGTTCTCAACCACTGGTTCAAATAATAGTAGAGACGACTTAATAAATACTCCAAAAGAAATGTCTTTCTTTCAAAATTACAAATTTAAAAATTACATAAAAACGATTAATATTGAAAAATAAAACCAAGGTTACTTACGTAAAAAAAAAAATAATTGTGCAAGTAGGTTGAAAAAATATTAGATTTTATTCAAGTATTTAATCGTTTGTCACATATAAATTAAACATTCAAGTAAGTTAAACATTAAAATAAAAAAATGTTTCTTATATTTTTCTTATATTTCATCAGAGCTATCACTTTTATCGTTACTAATATCAGAATCGTCGTCATTATCGGAAGATTTGTTCGTGGAATCACATAGTACACTCTCAACTTGCGTTGGAGTTGAGTCTCCCAGGAACTATGTTGGTTTTAGGACACCATCTAATAACAGCCAGCCGTTATTTTCCGCGTTAAACTTTTTTTTTATATAGGATAGGGTGACAAACGAGCACACAGTTCACCTGATGGTAAGTGGTTGCTGTGGCCCATAGACATCCACATCTATCCTCGATTACGAATCAAAATGCGGATGCGTTGTCACCCGTGAGGACTAAGATGGAATGCTTCGTTTCCAGTAAAAAGGGTCTCCGGTTCTCTACACTCACCATACGAAATACAGCAGCATTAGGTAAGCTACTATTTCACGCTGGTATTCTGTGAGAGCGTGGTCCCTCCCCGGTCGAGCCGACCCATTCGTGCCACAACTATACTTCTAATATAACTGCAGCATGGCTCTGTAGCATTTAACCACATTGAATTAACAAAGATTGTCCGCAACAATTTTTGTTTCAAAGATTTCCAGCACGGTGGAATATGCGTTGAGTCGAAACCTTTCATTCTTTTCATAAATTTTTCATTATTTTGTTTTGAAGCGTACATTTTGTCAAATAATAAAATCTTGCGGCATTTACATTTTGACACTTTGGAAGTCCATACATAAGGCACGTAAACTCCTGGACCGCATTAATTTTAGTTTCATTATAGATGTCATTAGGATTCGTCAAAGACGCAAGAGCTTGTTGAATGTGTGGGTGCTTCATAAATAAAGTCAAGGGCCGAACTTTCCCTTTGTTGAAGAATGCAGCCGTGTAGTCGCAACCCGTGTACGCGTGAAAAGCGGGAAGAGCAAGACATAGAGTTGCGCCTAATTTTATTGATAAGTCCGTACAGTTAATGTAAACTTCATCTTTATTATTACTTTTTTTTTTGATGCACTGTTCGCCAACCAAATCTGCAAATTAGGAAATTTATGCATATTACCTAATAAAATTATTAAAACGTCTGTGTCTGATGCTTTCATCAAAATTTTTGAATTTTCAGGTACTTTGCTTATGTGGAAAACAATCCTTGTATCAGCTTCTTCATGTTTACATTCAAATGCAGTTTCTTCAGTTTGCACTACGAGATTTGCAGCAGAACAATACGAAAAACATTGCTCTCCAACTGTAATATAAATTTTTTTTATTTCCTAATACTGTAGCAAAAGAATCATCGGCCCAATGATTTGCTAAGAATTTTACCAGGGCTTCTTTGAAACGAAAATTCTTCAAGCTTTTTAAAAAATCATTGGGTCTTTTTTGCAAAGAGCCATTAATTGTGTATGGAATATCAATTCCTTCTCGATTTTATCGTTCGCTATCTTTAATAGAAGGCGTTAAATATCTATCAAATATGATATGTACTTCGGGAGTATTTTTCGAACAAAGTTTTATCAATATCGATTCTGCTACTTTTCCAAATGTTTGCGGCAAATTAGAGCCAATTTGATACAAATAATAGAAACCATCAATGATTTCTATGTCGACTTGGCCAGGATTAGCTGGTTGCAATCTTTGCTGTCAATTATTTACTCAGAGTTGACTTGTCCGTCTTCATTATGTCACCTGAGCAGTGGAATAGTGCAGGAGGTAGAGGTGCTAGAGGGAATGACAAACAGTACCCAATGTCAACTTTTTGATTAATAGCAATTGCCAACAGACGTCCAAAAATATCTCGTTCCATTTTAATTATTGTATTTTTGTCTCCGGTGGTACTCTTAATACTTTTTTTAACACAATCTGAAGCGAAGTTATTTATTTTATTACGACTTATTGATCTCACAAATCTTGTTGAATCTTCAGAGCATTCCGAAAAAAATTTTAACTTTTGTTCTTGACCTAAAGACTTAACATTGAGTAAATAATCAGTAACATTTGAGGATGCCGCTTTACCAGTTGACAAATTGAACAAACGATCTTTGTCAACATTTTCAGAAAAAGGATTCATTGTTTTCTTCATCGTTTTAACAATATTGTTTAGAGTTTTGGAGTCTTTCTCAATTCGATTCTTCTGTAACGTATAAGAAGTATCATCTGCTTGAGATAATCCGATTTCTGCTTTCACGGACGACATAATTTTAGTCCTGACACTATGGCTAAGAGCCCATCTTTCTCGTGCAGCGATCGAATTTGTAAAATGGCTTACACCAGTCAAGGTATTACCGGCATCAGCATTAATCGTCTGCTCCAAAGTCAAGTCTATAGGTGATCTGCCTAAGTATGATTTTGTGCGTCTAATACCAAATACACCTTCGCGAAATTCCTGAAGTAGAGTAGAATTTTCGACTTTTAACTTGATTAAGTTATTTAAATACATAGCAGCCCATTTGGCATAATTCGGCTGATTGAATGCAAAAAAAGTAGCCACACATTTCGAAGATAGAATCTAAGTAGAAGCTCAAAATTACTGCAGCGTATGCTTCTAGAAAATCGAAGAAATATGTTGATAAGTTCAGTATACTGCAAATAATATTGAGCTGTCTTTCCATGACCGCCCTGAAGTGTTATTTCGCGGAATTGTTTGTAACCCTGCAGTATTTTATCCAATGAATCAGGTAAAACAATGCTCTCGTTGATTCCACATGAAATATTCATTACGGCGTTTAAGTCTTCCTTTAAAGTTTCAACATCATCCGTGTCAATTTCTGACAGATATTTTTCAAAATGAAGAATCTGCAAAGCACCAGAAGCCAAAGGATATAGCCGCTTACATCGATTAAAATGTTTACTATCTAAGAAGCTGTTCATTGAACCTTCTGCTAGTGCCTCTGCTTCAACCAAAATCTCTACTAATCCACTGGAATCAATATACTTTCCAATTGCTTTAAAGAAAGCCATTTGGGTATGGAATGCGCCTAAATTAATGAATATATCGTCAAATTCTGGCTTTTTAGTATGTTGAATCTGCATAGCTAATTTGGCTATTGCTAAATCGTAAGTAGCTATGATCTGTTGTTGATTACAATTCTTAGCAATTTCCTTTGCAATGTTAAGAGTTTCTTGAACAACAGCTAGCGATGTAGGAGATTCATTAATTGGTGATAAGTACTCGACTGTCTGAATTTTACTCTCATCAATGCCAATTTTGCAGTTATAACTTAACCACATGGGTACCGAATCAATTTGAGATAAAGACATACTCCAAACCAAATCCTTATCAATTGCGATTGATTTATCTGAATGACACGCATCGATTGTTTCAGTAATTGTTTGAAAAGGCAGAAACGTCATACTTGTAAATGGTGTCTTGACAAAGGGACGAATTTCCTTCGAAGGTGCTTCAAAACGCCGTCTCTTACGAGCTCTTGCAAGAGGCTCCGTGGAACCTTCATGGACATATGCGCTTAGGGATTCTGAATCAGAAGTATCTGAATTGTCTATATTATCAGGGTCATCATTTTCGCTGCGAAATTGATAAATGATACCAACTGTATCGTGCAAAGTGTCTTTCCCAGTGGCTGTATCGACGAAACGGTCAAAGTTATCGAAAGCTACGTGCGTGCTTAGCCCATCAACTCTGCTAATACCGGCCGGTATCGCATTGTTTTCGTTTTGGGAACTATACGTCATCTCAGTTTCAATTTCTTCAGCTAAATTATAGCCTATTGTATGTCCATATCTATTTAATATCGTTAAAACTTTTCGTGAACTTGTCATAGATTTCATTGATAACCCGAGTGTAAGATGTTTTGACGGTTTGACTCTACCTTTGGATACAATATAAATCAGGTCACTACACACAGACTTTATTTTCACCAAATCATCACCTGAATTTTTACGACGAGTATCTGGTCCTAGAACTAAGTCACACACGAAATTAAAAAGTTGTTCTGGAATATTGCACTCTCCGAGAATGACATCCTTTGGAGTTAGATTATCTGGCAGCTTCGTACTTTCCAGAGATGTGATACAATTGCGCAATTCGTAAGCGACATCTCTGAATCGATTCTTTTTAGTAGATTCTAATTTTGCTATTTCACCAGCTAATCGTGACGTGTCCATGTCATACTGATATACAATTTTCTTTTTCGGTGTCCCCATGGATGATTCAATAGTAACTCTATCGCCAAAAGCTTTGATTATTTTATTTTCTAAGTTTTCAACACGATAGTCTTGTATGTCTTCAGCGCGTACTTGGCCTTCAGCAAATTCCAGTAGCAATGATTTATATTGTGTAAACAAATCAGTGAGATACACAACGCGATTGTTTCCAATAATTTCCGTCTTTATAATTTCCGAAATCGCATTGAATGCCAAGTGATGAAATTGACGGTTTTTGTGCCAATATCTTGGTTCTGGATGTTCCTGACATTGCCGTTTCAATGAAATTTGATATGATGAAAAACAAGTTGAATGATAAGCAACAGATTGAGGGCTCTCTAGTTTCGCTAACAATTTAGTGTCATTCGATTTTTTGGCCATTGATTTTATTGTTTCAATCGTTGCTTCTGATTGCGGGAACGTTGTATAGATTCGCCTCTTACCAACTTTTTTTCAACATGATCACAAAAAAGCCAGGCTGACTTTTTGATTTTAGGTGTTGATGGAATAGCTTGCTGGGATATTGTAGCAGCAGATGATAAACTTTGAAAAACTTGAGTTTGATCATCTTCGTGCGCAGATGTACTTGGCTGCTCGTTTGAAGCAGTCGTAGTTCGCTGTTCATCTGCTGGAAGTGTAGTTGGTTGATCGCTCAATGAAGGGCCTTGATTCTTCCTACAAAGTAAATGTATGTGTTTGAAGATGATTTGTATTAAAAGCTTACTGTTCGAAAATTTTTTTTTCATATCCGATTAATATTGTTACTATTGTATATACTTACTAGATCACAGTTGACATCAGAAATACTTCGTTCATGAAGATCTGAAGGGAGGCTCGGAATCTGTTAATTATAAAAAATACGGTGTTATAGTTAAATATTCCATGGTCATTCCACAACACTGTTTTAATTGTATTTGATATAATTAAATGAAAATATTAAATCGATCTACAAAAATACAATTATATAATCTTTGTTTTTTTTTTAATTTTCTAAATGTAGAGTTATATATTTTTTTTTTCGGAAAAACATAACGCACAGTTAATAGAAAAAGTTAGTAATAGTATTTATTTCTCCACATTATATTGTTGAATGATTTTATTGTGTGCTTGAAATAAGTTTAAAAAAAGGTCCGACTACCTGATAAATTCTACCTGTCTAAGAAATGAAATATCTTAGGAATGAGTAAATGGTGCTACGTTACCACGTTTTTCCACAAAAAAAAAAAATTAAAAAAAATATAATTTTAACAAAAAAACTTCGAAGTTAGCACTGTATTATTTATATCGTATCTATAACCTTTAATATTTTTAAGTTCAGTTGAAATTTTACTTACTGTTTGTGTTTTGCAAAAATTTTCGAATTCTTCTTTGTCTTTTTCCTTTAAAACTGTAATTTTTTTAAGGCACTCTGTATGATATCCAAAATCATCAGTTGATTCAATTGTTAATAAAGCGTCGTGATATTTATATTTTTTCATACGACGAAATAATAACATGAGCGAACACTTTTTAAATGATGCATCATTAAAGTTAAGTACATTGTTTTTTTTTTGTTACACAGAAAACACGCCTTCATCTTTATCAATTTTATTTTACGTAAATTAATTTGATAATTTTAGATGCACAAATAAAATAGCAATTTAAATAACGTTGTATATTACGAACTCCAAAACAGCGTGGTTTCTAAGTTAGAATAAATATTGCTGCAGCTGGTCAGTTGAGAACACTAGCACCCGACGCATGCGCAATGGCTTTAAAACGTCGGACAGCTGGCAATCGCTGTCTTCGTCTGACTGGTGACATTACGCGCTAGCTCTCTTTCACTCTACTTTTAATATTTATCATATTTAGCAGCCAGCAACTCTTATTTGCGGCCAGATTTAATTAGGCACCCATATATCATAATAATAAGAAAAAAATTAGCTTTAATTTAATATATAAATCATAAATGTACGTTATAAACGTAAAAAGATATCAAAATCATACCTGATAGAATCAGGCGTTACTTTGCGGAAATCCATTATAATAAAAAATAAAAATATAAATTTCTTTGCAACTTTCCGCTAAACAAGTTGAATAAACAAGCTTGTTTAGCGGAAAGTTGCAAAGAAATTTATATTTTTATTTTTTATTAAAATCATACCTGTTTACACCTGGCTGCAAAGTGGTGCGGCCAAGTGCGCAACGGCAACCGTAAATTTTCAAAGTCTTTATATATATATATATTGCCGTGAAGTGGACGATATTTTATTTTAAAAACAAATCAATTAAATTTTTTGCGAAAAATTAATTAAAAATAATTTAATTAAAAATACGAGCGGTCACATTTTGATAGGCACCCTAGCAAATATTTATTCTCTTAATGATAAATATGCGTAAAAATTAGGTTTTTAGCATATACTCGATGAGTACACTAATTCTGCAGTGGGATCCTAGACTAGGTATAATTTTTCATCCCGATTCGTCATTTTAACTCACCCTGCACGTAAGCAATATATTAATCTTCAGTTTGTCACCGTTAAAATAAATATGTATCTACAGATTTCATTTCTATTTGAAGTTCACAATCCAGTTTACGAATAATTTTATATAATACTGTGAATGAATGTGATGATCACATCGTTTAATGATGATACATACTAAAAAGTAAGGTACAGTTTCAACATGTCCGTTCTGGTCGCTTTTACCATCGTATATTGCGACAAAACTTGCGATAATTAGAGGATCACTCCTGCGATCCACCATTTTTCTTCCTCGCACAAAGTTCCTTTGTATTGCATCTCTCAAGTTGGGCCAAACTGACATGGTATGCAAATTTGATTAAAATCGGTTGAGTAGTTTAGGAGTCCATCGCGGATATATATATATATATATATATATATATATATATATATATATATATATATACTTATATATATTGTATATAAACTTATACACAGAATACTAATTACCCTAGGCGGGGCAGTAAGTCAATGGATGATGGTGGTTCAGGTCCGTGATTTGTAACATTTCTAGAGGGTGGACAGGGAGGACAGCGGAACACAGGCCTTTCCACTGTGGACTTGTTGTCCATGCTGTGTCATATTTTGACACTTGAGTTGAATAATTTCACAAACTCGAATGTCGTTAATGTTACATTAATAACTTCGCCTCTATCTTTTTTTAAGTCGGCTAAAAAAGGCGTTACAAGGCGTGGTATATAAATAAGAAAAAGATACGTCGGAATTGCGAACAAGGGAACACTTAAAGAACTAGTGCTCAAAAGAATCTCAGGTGGCGTCTATGAAATAATGTGGTTTTGATGAGAAAACCACATACTTACGAAATTATACTTTACTCATGTGTAGCAGATAGGGTTGCCACCCGTACTATAATATATATCTATACCTACATATAATAGTCAATTGTACTATTTACATTTTATAGAAAAATAATGTAGTCGAAAAGTAAAAAGTACTATATTTTTATCCCTAATTCGACTGTCGTGCTTATTTGCTTTTGTATTAACTGTGATAGGAAGTCTGGAACAAGTAAGTTTTGCGGAAATAATTTTTTCCATCATGAATGTAAAATTGAAAGTAGGTACTTCTTATAAGAAAAAGAGCATATGTACTAATTTAATTAACAATAAATTGTTAATATGAATAGAAATTACTCACTCCTATAATTATTTTAAGGGTAAAGTCACGGCTAAGCAAAGAGCAATAACAAATATACTTACATATAAATACATAGATAAAAAATAAATATATTTTTTCATCTTTTTTGGAAACAGTACTATATTTGTTCAAAAAAAAGGCGACAACCGTAGTAGCAGATATGATTAATATCTAATCTAAGAACCAAAGAATTTAATGTTTGGAAGATGCCATAGTAGGTATTATATGCCATAGTAGGTATTATTAAAGATTTAGAAGTTTTATTACATATATTTACTGTATTCATACAACAGAATTTCCATCTGCAGTCAGGTTTTTTTACTAGGATTTTACTTAGGATTTTGACTAGGATCCGCCTGACGGTTTGATACAGTTAAATACATTCAAGTTAAATACAATCTGCACCAAAGCATTAATAATATTTGAAACATTTTAAGCCAATATTTTTTCCTTTAAATAATAATTCTTGTCAATTTCCAAGTTCAGAAAAACATTAACTTGGAACAACAAGTGAGTGGAAATAGAAACAAACAATGTTTTTATTGCAATATAGGAACGGTTTTTTAAAAATGGTAGAGCCATGGTGCAGCACAAATGGGTCAGCTTGACTGGGAGAGTACCATGTTCTTATAGACTTATAGAAAATTAAATACCCTTTTAAAAGGAAATAAAGCAATCTATATTAGTCCTCAAAAATGGAAATACATTTACATTTCGATTATTGTGGTGGTAAATTAAAAAGGACAGATAAACAAATTCAGAAACTGGTATTACGACCAACAGCCTCCAGGTCATTAAACTAAAGTGGTATTATAAGTGCTCCAAGAATTTGTCCAACAAATGAGAGGTTAATAGAGGATAGTTGTAGATGTCTATGAGCCACAGCATCCACTTACCATAGTGAACTATGAGCTCATTTGGCATCCTCGACTTGGCAATTCTACTTAAAAGCCATTTCTTTTCTATCAATCTGCAAAAAAAAACTGTTAGACAGGGGCCACTCCCTTGAGGAGGTGATCGGGGATCGTAGTACCACATGTCTTGCACTTTTGATGCTGTTCTCTGTAGCCACACAGATATTTTACATCTGGGGTAAATGAGATTTTCTGTGGAGAAGTGCTTTGAGTATTTTGTTCCTTTCTCTTTGAATAGAATTTGAATCTTCAATCACTTGAACAAATTTTTCGAACTTATCATTGTCCTGCTTCTCATAAAGATCTCTGACGACTTTCTTTATTGATGTCAGAGTTACATTATCAACTCCACACCAGTGATTACATTCTCCGTGTAGTCTCGGCTCATCATAAATTTGCTCAAAGTAAGTATAATATGGCCATTGATTACTTTTACCAGTTTCTCTCTTTCTCCCTGCTAACCTTATGTAAGTTTGTTTTAAATTTCTAAATTTTTTATCACATTCTTCTGGAGTCAAGCCCAATCTAGGGCCTATCTGACGCCACAGCTTTTTATTTTTCGTAAGTGGATCCCTGAACTTATGTTTATTTTCTAAATAAAATGTTAAGAGTTGTACGACATAATCCTCTTCATGACTTTTATATACTAAGCTTGAGGTGCTATCATTTGTATGGTACCTATTTCTTTCATATATTGATTCAAAATCGTTATAATAACACCACTTTGTTATAGACCTTCCTGACTCAGCCCTAATTTTTAATCTAATATATGTTTGTTTTAAGTTTCTAAATTTTCTATCACAACTACTTGGACTTTCCCCAACTATATTTGAAATTTCCTTCCAAAGCTCCTTTTTTTGAAACCTTGGGTTCCTGAATTTGTGGGCTATTTGGCCATATGCTTCTATAAGTTGTCTTATTTTATTTCTGTCCCAAGGACCAGCATTGGGATTGTAGTTATAAAATATCCTCTCAAAGTAGTGCTGGTAGGGCCACTTAATTAACTTGCCAGTTTCCTGACTCCTTTCTAACCAATTGAAATAAGTTCTTTTTAAATTTTTAAACTTATGATAGCAATTATACTCGGTGGTGTTTAATTGAGAAGCAATTTCTTTCCAAACATCTTTTTGCAAGCATTCACGACTTCTGAATTTATTTATGTTTTCTAAATACAAATTAAGCAATCTTCTAATTTTGCTATCTTCCCAAGATTCAAGTATTGATGGAGACAATGATTTACAATCTTTAAAGACTTCTTCACAAATATTGTAGTGAATCCATTTTATATCCTTGCCTAATTTTTTCTTTTTATATAACCTGATATAAGTTCTTCTCAGGTTCCTAAATTTTTTATCACATTCATCTGGCGATGTACCCACGATGACAGCTATGTCATTCCATAACATTTTATCTTTATTAACCATTTTAAATTTGTCTTCGAGACATAGTGTGAGCAGTAATTTTATTTTATTTCTATCCCAGAAGTTATCATCCTTTGATGGCTCTAAAATTTCTTTGTCACACTGATCTACAGTTTCATTTTGTATAGTGGTAGGAGCTTCATTGATTTGTATGTACTGCTTGTTATCAACATCATCGACAATGTATTTTGTCTCCGGACCTGCAACTGTTTAAAAACTTATTAATATACATCCCTAATACATTTTTTTTTCTATTTATCAAACTTAATGTGCTTTAGTATCCCAGGACATGGAGAAGGGGTTACCTTCTCCTACAGTGCGCCTACAGAGTTAGTTTTTAAGCATTTTTAAAAATTTTAAATTATCGATTAGTTTTTAGAATATAATAGCATCATAATTGTACATCGATTCAGATTATGATCAAAATCATCAACGAAATTACGCCACAGGACACTAAAGCCAACCTGCAAAATTTATAAGATTTAAAACAAGTTAATGTTACATTAATTTCTAGATTTTATCTGGAGTATGATGAATTAAAACTTACTTTGAGGGTTTTGAATAGTAAAATTGTTACTGCTAAATATTACATTACTTTGATCTTCTCGAAGTACAAACCAATAACCTTGATTATGAGAATTATTCCAGTCCATTATGAATTATTAAAAAGCTATCTATATAAATAAGTGGATAAAATTTTTCTATATTTATGTACGAAAAATTACTGTTTATTCATTAAATATTCTTTTTAGTAATTTTATACAATGTACATATGTACAATAGGTAAGTACTCTTTGTTTAAATATATACGTAGAGATTAAATATTATTAGGTATTTATACCAAGACCAAAATAATAAATAAAGGGTATGTTCCGAAATACAACGCAGTGTACTGTCCAATGCAAATGACGTATCATTTGACACTTTATTGTACTAGCGTGCCGCCGCCATATTGTGTCGGATATCCGGCCATAATAAAACAATTTTTAATTGTGTGTTTGCCGAATGAAGCATGCCAGAATTTGTTTCTATTTATTCAAATACAAAAAATTAATAAATTAAATAACAAAAAATTATAGAATAGTATATCCATTAGGAGGATATAATGATTTTTGGAGCACAAAATGACAAAATAATCGCCAACACTTTTCCAAATGGCGCCAAAGTATGACGTCTATACTGTCCAATGTTTTGGAACGAATCACCAGTATAGCGTCGATTCATGACGTCATTTGCATTGGACAGTACACTGCGTTGTATTTCGGAACATACCCAAAATCATAGGTTTCCCACGACATGAACGCAGCGTTGTTCCTACTTTAGAGTTGCCGTATTCTAACTCCAAAATTGCCGGCTTTTTAGGGAAAACTAAGAAAAATGCCGTATAGTACAAAATATTTGTTTAGAAGGTTACAATAAAAAAAACGTGAAATACATGTTGTTTACATAATAAATAAGTGTGTACTATAAATGTACTAATTTTATTCTTCACCATTATAGGTTTTGAATAGTTTCCAGCACTTCTGATTCTGTCGCGTTTGGGTCGTACTGTTTTTTATCTTTCATTTTACGAATCATTTAGTTTGGCACTTGAATCTTTGTACAATTACCGTTATCGATCCGGATCTACATGGTTCTGAAGGAGAAAGATCGCTACGTTCAGTCAATAAAAGTCATTTTCAGTCTATTTTTCCGATCAGATGCTAAACCACTTGCACATCCACGCACAATAAAATATTTCTCCATTTTTTGATGTTTTTTTTTTGTCAAAAATACGGAGCATGAAAATTTTCTCACCAATGCCGCGGAGAAAATTTGTACATTTGAATTTAAATAAGCTTAATGCTCATTTCCTCTCTAGCGCCACTATAGACAGTGCTACGAAGAAAAATACACTTGCTCAACTTTCTGCTATATCAACTCCCAATTTTTCCTCTTTTGTCTTTAGCCAAGTTACTGTCAGTGATGTTAAGAAGAATATATTAGCCATTACTTCCGACGCAGTTGGTTCTGACAGCATTAGTCGTAAGATGATTATCCCAATACTCGATCTTTTAGCTCCTATACTTACACTTATTTTAAACCGTTCCCTTGACACCAGTGTTTTTCCTTCATCCTGGAAAGACGGCCTAGTAACTCCACTCCCTAAAAAATCTAATCCGACATATGAGGATTACCGTCCTATATCCATCCTTTCCTTTCTCTCTAAAGTACTCGAGCGCCTAATATACCAACAGCTGAGCAAATTCCTGTCCAATCATAACCTTTTGAATTCATTCCAATCTGGTTTCCGTCCCGGTCATAGTACGACTACGGCTTTGGTTAGAATCACTGATGATATTCGCCTGGGCATGGATAGTCAGCAGGTTACAGTATTGACATTGCTTGACTTTAGTAATGCCTTCAATACTGTAGACTTTGATGTTTTACTCGCTGTCCTAAGTTCTCTTAACATATCTCCTGAAGTAATTGGTTGGTTTCATAGTTATTTGCAAGGGCGCCGGCAACGTGTACAAATTGAAGACACGTTTTCTGACTGGTCTGCTGTCAAAGCTGGCGTCCCACAAGGTGGCGTGTTGTCTCCTCTATTGTTCTCTATCTTCATCAATTCGATCTGTTCCCACATAACTTCTCTTTACCACCTATATGCAGACGATTTACAAATCTACTCTCAATGTAAGATTGCGGATCTCCCCAATACAATTAGATTAATTAATGAAGATCTTATTCGTATTTCTCATTGGTGTAATTCATTTGGGCTTAAAGTTAATCCATTGAAGACTCAAGCCATTATTATTGGGAGTTCGAAATTAATCTCTCGGTTAACTTTGTCGCTGCTCCCGCCAATCATATTCGATGGGACACTTATCCCATACAGTGACAAAGTTAAGAATTTAGGTATTATGTTCGATCAGACTTTGTCTTGGGGACCGCAAGTTAGTGAAATAAGTAAAAAAATGTTTGCCGCAGTTGGTTCACTTCGAAGATTACGCAATGTTCTCCCCATTCCTACTAAAGTTGCGCTGGCTCAGTCTCTTCTTTTACCGATCCTTGACTACGCGGACACTTGTTATCTTGACCTAACATACGAGCAACTTAATAAACTTGAGCGGCTTCAAAATTATTGCATAAGGTTTATATTTGGGTTACGAAAGTATGACCACATATCCGAATTCCGCCATAAGCTCAAGTGGCTCCCGATTCGTCTTCGCAGGAATACTCACATTCTTCATCTTCTTTACTGCATTCTGTTCAATCCGACCACTCCTTCTTATTTGAAAGACCGATTTATATATTTAAGTAGTTTACGATCTCAAAATAATCTCCTTCTAAGTACCCCTAGACATTCCTCTTCCTTCTATTCTAATTCTTTTACGGTTACCGCTATACGACTATGGAATTCTCTCCCCTTACATATCAAAAAAATCTAAATCTCTTCCTATATTTAAAAATAAATTAAAACTTTACTACCTTTCCTCTTAAGTTACTACCTGTCGTCATTCATTTTTAATCATTTATGTTCTTCTATTTATCTTTCTTTATCATATTCTGTACACCCCTTCCGCTATCTTTTAAAATAGTATCCTCTGCCCTAAGGTTGCCTGGAAGAGATCGCTGTTTTAGCGATAAGGCCGCCTGTTGTACCAATGTCCCTTTAAATATATAAATAATGTAATATGTTCCTTGGTGTACAATAAAGTATATTTTACTTACTTTACTTTACATTATTCAACTAACTTCATCTACTTATACTCATAAACAGCTAAATTTCGCAGCTACTACTCACCGACGTCAGCGCCGCTATAAATCTACAATTTTCAAGGATAGGTGGGCTATGCTTTAGTACGTAGTGATCATTCTCCTGTTCTCTAACCTTCAAGGTTCACAAGTTGGTGTGTTCTATTATACGAAATATTTTTTTTTACTTTAGACAATTACCGTATATTTTAATACGGTAATCAAATAGCTGCCGTATACCGTATTTTTGTTGCTTAAGATGCTTGAATGCCGTATATTACGGCAATTGCCGTATCAAGAACAACGCTGTATGAAGGACATGCTTTTGTATCTTCTACTTCATAGATTTTTTTTTAAATATGGCAACCTAACAATTACTGCCAACCTCCAGTCAATAAAAATACTTCATAGATTACTGTGTATATACTAGAGATTCCACTTCTAAGGCGAATTAGACACGCGTGATATTTATCACGCTCTGGGACGCGATCTGGAACGACGTATCGTAATCCATATCGACACACCCTACACGTTCATTACGGGTTACGTTGGTGTTGGACACATAAGTGTTAAGTGCAGACCGAAATGAAGAAAAAGCTTGTGTGGCTATCATTAGGACAATAATATTAAAGGATATATTTTTATTCGTGGTAGAGCCACGCTCCAGCTATATTATAGCGGATAATTGTAGATGTCTATGGGCCACAGCATCCACTTACCATCAGGTGGACTGTATGCTCTTTTGCCATCCTTATTCTAAAATAAAGGAGAGTGAAAAGGAGAATCTGACCTAAACAGTGGTACTGACGTAGAGGAAAATATACCCATTTAAATTTATTAGATGGAATTAGACTTACTGGAGAAATGGATGACTGCAAAAATTATTTTCACATGAGTGATAACTGTTTTGACAACTTATTGGAACTGGTCACTCCTTTTTTTAATTAAACAGGACACTGAAATGAGACAAGCTATTACTCCAAGAGAAAAATTGGCACTCACATTACATTTTTTACATTACATTTATTTCTTTTCTGTAATTATATTTTAACGAATTTTTTTTTCTAACATTTTCTATTGAAGTCTCATTTTTTATTTTTTTATAAATTGGTAGAAACTTCTAAAGTGCCTTCATTCGCTTACAATTGTTTGTAAAACCATCACACGATGTGTCCCATGATATGGGCGTTGTTTTCGACCATAATATAAAATCCTGTAAATATTTTGATTGATTGTAGATCGTCCCGTCGAAACAGGATTCTCGCTTTCATTCGCGATTTCGCCCGAATCGCTACAAATCGACAACCTCCATCGCTTCTCCAGAGCAGACTCACTCACGCGTCCTTATCGCAGCAACACTACACGCGCAATATATATCACGATCCTGGATCGCGATACAAGGATCGTGATAAATATCACGCGTCTAGCATTCGCCTAAGAAATTTGATTGTTGTTAAACTACCGCCATCTAGAAGTTGCTTTATGAAACACTTAATACTTTTTTATTTATAGCCGCTCTGGCATCTTGTATTTTTAGCTACTTTATGTCAATCAATCAAGATAGTGTGGCCGCCACAAAAAATTAAGCACTATTAATAATAATTCTAATGATAGGTATAAAGGAAATACTAAAAAGGAAATCATATTCTATTAAGCAAGTTATTATTATATGTTAATGTATTTATTAACTACATTAAAAATATCATCATCATCATCATCATCATCATCATTACAGCCCTCCACAAGTCCACTGCTGAACATAGGCCTCGCTCAAGCAACGCCACAAAGCACGGTCCTGAGCCACCTGCATCCATCGACTTACTGCGTATCTTACCAGGTCGTCACTCCATCTAGTGGGGGGTCGCCCTACACTACGCCTACCGGTACGAGGCTGCCACTCGAGAATCTTTCTTCC